ACAAGGAATATTCAACATAACTCATAATTGCAATATCTTTTCATAAAATCACCTCTGAAGATGCATTAATTAAAGCCCCTGTCAGTCGTTAAACAGATTATGTATCTCGATCGATTTAGATCAGAATTCAGAATCAATTCATTTTCAAATGTGATGAGTAATTTCGGTCTTATTGAAAAAGTTAACATTTTACATTAAATTTACTTGAAATGACTAGATAACACACCACGTGACTGTTGATATCTAGCTGTACACAACAATGTACCTATTACAATATACAAACAACTTATATCCAACATTTCTGTATTCTATAAAAATGTCTTCTCCAAACATCATATTTACAATAACATATACTTTAGCCACAATATCCTATATATATATATATTTATATGTATGTATGTATGTATGTACACGTGACTAAGTAGTATAAAAATAACCCTCCGCCTAATGTCGAGGTTTAAGCATACTGACGTCGGTTTTGGACAATCGATGAAAACAAAATAATTATTATCACATCTGATTAAACAGTTGATAAGTAATCAGGATAGCAAACTGAGATACATTTATGTAGACTTGGAAGATCAGTGATATAAACTTGCAGAAAAAGAATCGTAAAAACGTTTCAAACGAAAAGTACTAAGTTATATTAGTACAGTCATGATGTATATTTAGTGGTATTCTCGAGTGTTTGGGGTCCAGTCCTAAGTACAGCCATGACGTATATTTAGTGGTATTCTCGAGTGTTTGGGGTCCAGTCCTAAGTACAGCCATGGTGTATATTTAGTGGTATTCTCGAGTGTTTGGGGTCCAGTCCTAAGTACAGCCATGGTGTATATTTAGTGGTATTCTCGAGTGTTTGGGGTCCAGTCCTAAGTACAGCCATGGTGTATATTTAGTGGTATTCTCGAGTGTTTGGGGTCCAGTCCTAAGTACAGCCATGATGTATATTTAGTGGTATTCTCGAGTGTTTGGGGTCCAGTCCTAAGTACAGCCATGACGTATATTTAGTGGTATTCTCGAGTGTTTGGGGTCCAGTCCTAAGTACAGCCATGACGTATATTTAGTGGTATTCTCGAGTGTTTGGGGTCCAGTCCTAAGTACAGCCATGACGTATATTTAGTGGTATTCTCGAGTGTTTGGGGTCCAGTCCTAAGTACAGCCATGACGTATATTTAGTGGTATTCTCGAGTGTTTGGGGTCCAGTCCTAAGTACAGCCATGGTATATATTTAGTGGTATTCTCGAGTGTTTGGGGGTCCAGTCCTAAGTACAGCCATGACGTATATTTAGTGGTATTCTCGAGTGTTTGGGGTCCAGTCCTAAGTACAGCCATGACGTATATTTAGTGGTATTCTCGAGTGTTTGGGGGTCCAGTCCTAAGTACAGCCATGACGTATATTTAGTGGTATTCTCGAGTGTTTGGGGTCCAGTCCTAAGTACAGCCATGACGTTTATTTAGTGGTATTCTCGAGTGTTTGGGGTCCAGTCCTAAGTACAGACATAATGTATATTTAGTGGTATTCTCGAGTGTTTGGGGTCCAGTCCTAAGTACAGACATAATGTATATTTAGTGGTATTCTCGAGTGTTTGGGGTCCAGTCCTAAGTACAGCCATGGTGTATATTTAGTGGTATTCTCGAGTGTTTGGGGTCCAGTCCTAAGTACAGCCATGACGTATATTTAGTGGTATTCTCGAGTGTTTGGGGTCCAGTCCTAAGTACAGCCATGATGTATATTTAGTGGTATTCTCGAGTGTTTGGGGTCCAGTCCTAAGTACAGCCATGACGTATATTTAGTGGTATTCTCGAGTGTTTGGGGTCCAGTCCTAAGTACAGCCATGACGTATATTTAGTGGTATTCTCGAGTGTTTGGGGTCCAGTCCTAAGTACAGCCATGACGTATATTTAGTGGTATTCTCGAGTGTTTGGGGTCCAGTCCTAAGTACAGCCATGACGTATATTTAGTGGTATTCTCGAGTGTTTGGGGTCCAGTCCTAAGTACAGCCATGACGTATATTTAGTGGTATTCTCGAGTGTTTGGGGTCCAGTCCTAAGTACAGCCATGACGTATATTTAGTGGTATTCTCGAGTGTTTGGGGTCCAGTCCTAAGTACAGCCATGACGTATATTTAGTGGTATTCTCGAGTGTTTGGGGTCCAGTCCTAAGTACAGCCATGACGTATATTTAGTGGTATTCTCGAGTGTTTGGGGTCCAGTCCTAAGTACAGCCATGACGTATATTTAGTGGTATTCTCGAGTGTTTGGGGTCCAGTCCTAAGTACAGCCATGATGTATATTTAGTTATTCTCGATATTTAGTGTTTGGGGGGGTCCAGTCCTAAGTACAGCCATGTTGTATATTTAGTGGTATTCTCGAGTGTTTGGGGTCCAGTCCTAAGTACAGCCATGACGTATATTTAGTGGTATTCTCGAGTGTTTGGGGTCCAGTCCTAAGTACAGCCATGATGTATATTTAGTGGTATTTTGTGTTATATGTGTTCCAGACAACCTACAGCCATGAACATATTTAGTGGTATTCTCGAAGCGTTTCAGTGACGGGCGCTAAGTACACATATTGATTGTAAGGCTATTTAGTGAATTCACAGTTTGGAACCACATTGGCCATTAAACACAGCAATCTGATTAATTTCTAATATTTGTTTTAAAAAATTATTTACAAATAGAAAACCTTCATTTTCCCCCTCTAGGTCGATGTTGAAGATTACAAAGAGTTGACTCCCTTTAACAGCGACAGAAAGTGTAGTAGTAGTAGATACTGGACATTACAGTGACAGTAGTAGTAGATACTGGACATTACAGTGACAGACAGTGTGATACACTGTGTAGTAGTAGATACTGGACATCACAGTAACAGACAGTGTGATATACCGTGTGGTAGTAGATACTGGACATTACAGTGACAGTAGTAGTAGAAGTACAGTGTGATATACCGTGTAGTAGTAGATACTGGACATTACAGTGACAGTAGTAGTAGATACTGGACATTCCAGTGACAGACAGTGCTGTACACCGTGTGGTAGTAGATACTGGACATTACAGTGACAGTAGTAGTAGAAGTAACAGTAGTAGTAGATACTGGACATCACAGTAACAGACAGTGTGCTATACCGTGTGCTAGTAGATACTGGACATTACAGTGACAGTAGTAGTAGAAGTGACAGTAGTAGTAGATACTGGACATTACAGTCACAGACAGTGCTGTACACCGTGTGGTAGTAGATACTGGACATTACAGTGACAGTAGTAGTAGATACTGGACATTACAGTGACAGACAGTGTGATATACCGTGTAGTAGTAGATACTGGACATTACAGTGACAGTAGTAGTAGATACTGGACATTACAGTGACAGTGTGATACACCGTGTAGAAGTAGATACTGGACATTACAGTGACAGACAGTGTGATATACCGTGTAGTAGTAGATACTGGACATTACAGTGACAGTAGTAGTAGATACTGGACATTACAGTGACAGACAGTGTGATACACCGTGTAGTAGTAGATACTGGACATTACAGTGACAGTGTGATACACCGTGTAGACACATTACAGTGACAGACAGTGTGATATACCGTGTAGTAGTAGATACTGGACATTACAGTGACAGTGTGATACACCGTGTATACACCGTGTAGTAGTAGATACTGGACATTACAGTGACAGTAGTAGTAGATACTGGACATTACAGTGACAGACAGTGTGATATACCGTGTAGTAGTAGATACTGGACATTACAGTGACAGACAGTGTGATACACCGTGTAGTAGTAGATACTGGACATTACAGTGACAGTAGTAGTAGATACTGGACATTACAGTGACAGACAGTGTGATACACTGTGTAGTAGTAGATACTGGACATTACAGTGACAGACAGTGTGATACACCGTGTAGTAGTAGATACTGGACATTACAGTGACAGTAGTAGTAGATACTGGACATTACAGTGACAGACAGTGTGATACACTGTGTAGTAGTAGATACTGGACATTACAGTAACAGACAGTGCGATACACCGTGTGCTGGAGTGACAGATACTGGACATTACAGTGACAGTAGTATACACTGTGTAGAAGTGGACATTACAGTACAGTGCGATACACCGTGTAGTAGTAGATACTGGACATTACAGTGACAGACAGTGTGATATACCGTGTTGTAGTAGATACTGGACATTACAGTGACAGTAGTAATAGATACTGGACATTACAGTGGCAGACAGTGTGATAAACCGTGCAGAAGTAGATACTGGACATTACAGTGACAGTGTGATACACCGTGTGCTAGTAGATACTGGACATTACAGTGACAGTAGTAGTAGAAGTGACAGTAGTAGTAGATACTGGACATTACAGTCACAGACAGTGTGATATACCGTGTTGTAGTAGATACTGGACATTACAGTGACAGACAGTGCTGTACACCGTGTAGTAGTAGATACTGGACATTACAGTGACAGTAGTAGTAGATACTGGACATTACAGTGACAGTAGTAGTAGATACTGGACATTACAGTGACAGACAGTGTGATACACTGTGTAGTAGTATATACTGGACATTACAGTGACAGTAGTAGTAGATACTGGACATTACAGTGACAGACAGTGCGACACACCGTGTAGTAGTAGATACTGGACATTACAGTTACAGTAGTAATAGATACTGGACATTACAGTGACAGACAGTGCGACACACCGTGTAGTAGTAGATACTGGACATTACAGTGACAGTGTGATACACCGTGTAGAAGTAGATACTGGACATAACAGTGACAGACAGTGTGATACACCGTGTAGAAGTAGATACTGGACATTACAGTGACAGACAGTGCGATACACTGTGTAGTAGTAGATACTGGACATTACACTGACAGTGTGATACACCGTGTAGAAGTAGATACTGGACATTTATATCAACACCTTTTCAAAACATGTCCATCACGATCATTAGATCACGATGTTGCAGATCTGGAAGTTTTTGAACTACGTTATAAGATGTGGGGCAGAGAAAAGCACTCCCATTGTAGAAGCAAGTGTGAATGTAACACAGATCCACAAACACAACCTGTCTATAACCATAGCGGCGAATCGCCACTCACTCCTCATCTCCATGTCTTCCTCTTCTCGCTTACACCGGATAGTTATCTTTCTTATTTCTTTCAAAATAGAGACCAGTTCGCAACGCTGAGTGTTTATCAGAGAGGTTTCCTCTCGTTTTACACCCGAATTAGCAGCATACGATCCATTTTCATATCTTAAGTCATCATCCGTCTCGACAACATTTGGAAGCAGACTGCGAGACTGCCGATCCTGCAGCACTACGTCACGTAGTCTTGACCTTTGAACTATATCTCTATGAGCATCTTTCTGATCTCGGTTCTGTCTTTTCATTTGAAGACCCGCCGCTAGCCAACCGTTTATGTATTTCCGCACCTGTAGATATAACATTAGATTATTCCTACACAGATGACGAAACGGAGAATGAATAACATACACATGTCATATAATTAGATCTGCCACTGTCAACACACTTCAATTAAATTTCTATTTTATTTATTTAACATATTTATTGAAACCGAACACAACTTATAAATTGACTTGACAACACTCGTGCAAACCGCCGAGAGGAAGCTCCCTCTTTGAATTGCCTAAGTGCTGTCTTTAAAATGAATTCTACCAATCAATATATGCATCTAATGTACCGAGAACCCAGAAATTTTGACATACATTACAGTAAAGTTTTACACCTACGACTTACCAGCACAGGTCTGTAAACTGCCTTACCAGGATGAATTAATTCTGTGAGTTTTATACCTGGGACAATTTACATCTGTGACTTACCCAGTCAGGAAGACGATGAGTATCAGGTCCTCGGTAATGGAAATTGAGCACAATTACGGTAAACATGACGGACAGGGAGCACATCACCATTATACAACAAAAATATATACCTGTAAATAAAATCAGGCAAATAGAAAAAGTGAAGGTTACAAAGAAAGTAGAGAGCGAACAGAAATAAGATTGACGTCGGAGAAATAATAAAAAACCTTACATACTTACTGTTGTCTGTTGTAGCATAATATGACTACCTCTTTGTAAGTCAAGGTGTGATCACAAGAGTAATTCTGCATTATCAGCGGTTTTGAGTAATCTTTATCGATCGTTCGATAAGAAATGCAAAAAACTATCTGCTGATTTAACACATCAAATTGTCGATGTTTGTCCCTGAACTGCTGTTTATTCGGCTACATATTGTCTGTGTGTGTTTCTGAACTGCTGTGTATTCGGCTACATATTGTCTGTTTGTTTCTGAACTGCTGTGCATTCGGCTACATATTGTCTGTGTTTGTCTCTGAACTGCTGTTTATTTGTCTACATATTGTCTGTGTGTGTTTCTGAACTGCTGTGCATTCGGCTACATATTATCTGTGTGTGTTTCTGAACTGCTGTGTATTCGGCTACATATTGTCGATGTATGTTTCTGAACTGCTGTGTATTCGGCTACATATTGTCCATGTATGTTTCTGAACTGCTGTGCATTCGGCTACATATTGTCTGTGTGTGTTTCTGAACTGCTGTGCATTCGGCTACATATTGTCCATGTATGTTTCTGAACTGCTGTGTATTCGGCTACATATTGTCCATGTATGTTTCTGAACTGCTGTTTATTTGTCTACATATTGTCTGTGTGTGTTTCTGAACTGCTGTTTATTTGTCTACATATTGTCCATGTATGTTTCTGAACTGCTGTTTATTTGTCTACATATTGTCTGTGCGTGTTTCTGAACTGCTGTTTATTTGGCTACATATTGTCTGTGTTTGTTTCTGAACTGCTGTTTATTTGTCTACATATTGTCTGTGCGTGTTTCTGAACTGCTGTTTATTTGGCTACATATTGTCTGTGTTTGTTTCTGAACTGCTGGTTATTTTGCTACAAATTGTTGAACACTTGTTCTCCAATGAATGACATTATTTTGACATTAGTCCTCACCTATCAGTGGCACTGCGTCTGATGTTGGGGGCATGGTCTCCGCCACCAGTAACAGAAACACCATCAATGACAGCAGGATCGTTACACCTAAACACAAAATCAAGCAACATATAAGGAAATGAAGCATACGTCTGACAATTTCGGATCATGATTTTCAAATCTATGGATTAGATGAACACATGTTAAGGAACAGGTACATGTAGGTGTGTTTTACTAACATGTCTGTATATAAATCGCAAATAAAAAATTCAATTTTCTTTCCTGATGAAATCTTAAAGTACACATCTGTAATTGAAGAATATAACAATGACGGACTCACGTGTATAAAGTGATATATACATTTTAAATATGAAATATACGTTTGAAGAAAGTGACCCCTCAATAACAGTCGAAAAACGTATAACAACTTAAAGACATGTAGTAATATGAATATGGAAAAAGTGTTAGTACAACGCACATGTAGGACTGGGGTAGCAACTAGAGGGATTTACAAGCATAGTAAAGCATCATCAGAGACACCAATGAGTTAGTAGTGTATACCACACACACAACACTGCAATAAAAGTCGGCGAAACCGGAAACGGATCCAATGTCAAAATAAAAACTTATCATCACCTAGATTATTTAATCATTATGATATGGCTGCATCATTTATTTCTTGTTTTTTGTTGTTTTTTTTTCATTACAAAACGAATTATTTACAAATGTGTTCTGAATGAAATATTAACAAGAGTGTGAACCAATAGTTGGTTTATCATTGTTATATCTGTGACGTGTGAAGTGGAACACAAACGATTAAAAAAACATAAAGCGAGTTTAAAACAATGCTACAAAACAAATGTATGAAAACAATTTTGCTACTCAGATTTCTGTCCATTGTAAAATTATCTAGTATCTAATTGATCAAAGAGTTGATGCTTTGGTGACCTCGGTAAAATTCCAGGCAGCAACAAGAATGAGCAAATGTCTGTCAATCGATGGTGGTTTGTTTATAGAGAAGTAAAATATCTATGGCAGGAATATTACTGTGAAGTCTACGACAGACTTACCTCCCTTGGCCCTTTGTTTACCTGAAATTATGTGACTAAGATTACAGATCAATACAACGCCTAATCACGAGAAAGAAGAACACCAGACATTGGTCATTGTTCAATGCCTCGTTATCAGTGAAAACAACATTAGTATAATCTCTTTAATTTTGATTAAAAAAATGAGTTAGAGACACAACACTAACAAGGGGATTTAGTGCTAATGAAAAAAGTTAAAAGTCTTGAAACTCTAGCTTTAGGAAACAAATTGTTTTCCAAACTGCAAAATTTAAATATTTCAAACGAATTGAATTGCAAATGGCAGCTTGTGTAGAAGCCTCGATGGCGGCAACGACAGACTCACGGTTAAAGCTATTCACGTACGTCCATAAAGGGTGCAATGTTTCGGATATTACCTTATCATATAACGATTCTATGCTGCATTCTTTTGGCAACTTTACCTTTATCAGAACGTCTCTTTGATAAAGTGAAATTCAACGGCCTAGGGAAGAGAAATTAACACGCCAACGACTGACAGACATTTGATAGTACAACAATTACTAATGGGGTGACAAACTCAATGTCATAACAACTATCTGTCATAATTGTTTACCATGACAAGGGTCAACATTGTAAGTGTTCGTACAGATGTCAGGTTGCTAATAAATTTTCACTTTGTCTTAAAAAACGCCATGCAACCATGCGACAAAATATACTGCATCATTTAGAAGACTAAAATCGAGGAAGTGTAGGACAGGAAAATGAAAGAAAATGTTCGAAATCGAGTACGAATACTGCATGAACCGAATGAAAGGCACCGTCCTTAAAACTTTTGTACATTTCTCCCTTTTTTTTCTCTCTCTCTTTTTTTCGTGTATCTAGATTTGTCAGTTTTTCCTCTTTTCTGTTTGGCGGATTATCATATCATTTTGCTTTGTACTTGTCCGTCTTTCATGGAGGTCAAAGAAAAATGACATGATATCATCTTTCAACACTAAAGATGAATTTAACTAGCAAAGCGCATAGGGCGTAGTGTTGTGCCTTTAACTCTCGCCTTTTCAAACATGTAAAAAAATCCTTTTCATTGCTTTTCCTTCGATATTTGATCCCCAGTATTGTAGGGCGCTGGCACTGCTCTGGAAGTTGCGCATTTGGAATGCATTTCTCTAAGTAAATGCATTTAAATCGGTTAAGAAGACATGTAATTTGTGTATGTCCGTGTAAAAATAATTTCGTCCCGTAAGAGATGAGACGTTTCGGTTGACGTACTTTATGTTAAGCGTCAGTATGACTTTGTTTATTACCTAGGGATATCTTTTCGCCTGAGTCCGGCGGTAACATAAAGAGTAGTAATGACATGGACGAGATAAGGACACACGGGATGATAATGTTGAAGCCGTAGTAGAGAGTACGCCTCTGGATGTGAATGGTAAACGTTATGTCTATGTAGAACTCCGGACAACATTCGTAGTGACGCTCGCTCCGCACCGCCGGTACACCTGCAAATAATTTTATAGAATATGCCCTTAATTTTGTAGAATGTATCTAAAAAAAATCTCAAAATCCATAAATATCATATTAAATCTTATGTCAACTAAACAATCTAACTGACAGGGAAAGAAAGTTGACTTATTAAGTAAATACCTAAATCATTTATTGATTTATTAATATTACGCACATAGTCCAATGTTCCTTACGTGACGTTCTCGCTGTCATGCTTCACTTTTTAAACTAAGCTGGAAGAACGTTTGGTCTAGGAAATTACGAACATGAATTCACATGGAAAAAAACAAATTATTAGTTTCACAATAGCCAGACTGCAGTCCGCGAGTGTGTAACAGACTATGTCGAATTAACGTCACCACCAGAATCTGACAGAGCCGACGCCTAGACATCCCCGAGGTAAATAGTTGATGATGTCTGTTTTTGTTTTTCTGTTGACATGGAAATGTAAGAAAAGTTCAACATTTCCAAGACAAGAATGTAATAAGGACATCAGCACGATACTATTGGACGAGGTCGTGTATCTCGCTGGATTGTTACATGTACATGCAGTTTGATATCGTTAATTTAAGCAATACGTTATATATGTAAACTAACGCTGGTATGTAAAGTGTCAAGAATCAACATACCGTAACATGTTTTTTTTTTAATTAACAGGTCCATATGAGAATGCATAAAAACTGAAATACCAAATACACCTACAGTGAATATCACTAATCTTAGACTATAGCAAACTGGGCTAGTCGACCTGAACTTTCATTTCCGACATGTAAAATAGCAGTTTCATCATCTCTGGCAATAACACTTATGTATGCTTGTCATAACTCCTAAACCGTTGATGGATTTGTCCTGAATCAGTAAAATTAAGTAGAAATGATAATAAGGTGCCCTTCAAACCATATCATGGGCATGATAACAAGGTGCCCTTCAAACCATATCATGGGTATGATAATAAGGTGCCCTTCAAACCATATCATGGGTATGATAACAAGGTGCCCTTCAAACCATATCATGGGTATGATAATAAGGTGCCCTTCAAACCATATCATGGATATGATAACATATATTCTCCGGGAGCTGTATCATCTAGGTTTAGGTTATATTTGGGAGTCAGAAAACAATACGGATGTTCATTATAATATAATCAGAGAAAGAATGTTTGATATGTTTAGACAAGAGTGTAAAGAAAAAATCAGAACTTCCTCGAAAGGACAAATTTATACTCATCTTTATCATGATAATGATTTACAAAGCTATCTGAAAAAATCAATACCTAGGGAATTGTTGAGAGAAATTACAAAAATAAGACTATCTTCTCATAATCTAAAAGTAGAAAAAGGCCGATATCAAAATATATCAAGAAATTTAAGAATATGTTCTAATTGTGATTTGAATGATATCGAAGACGAATTCCATTTTATATTGAAATGTCCCTGTTATTCGAACCTCAGAAGAAAATTTTTGAAAAGATACTATTATAAAAAACCTAGTATGTTTAAATTGATAGAATTCTTAAATGCAAACAATACAAAAGAAATAACAAACTTGTCTAAATATATTAAGGCAGCTTGCATTTTAATAGAAAACCGCATATAATTATATATATTCTCCGGGATATAATTATTGATAGCCTAGTTTACTCTCTCCGGGTTTGTGTTGTTTCTGTGTTTTTTGTATATTGTTATATGTTTGTAAATCGTCTATGTGTTGTTTGCTTTAACCAATGAGTCACACGACTCAAGGTAATAAAGAACTTGGAACTTGGAACTTGGGATATAATTACATATATTCTCCGGGATATGATTACATATATTCTCCGGGATATAATTACATATATTCTCCGGGATATAATTATATATATTCTCCGGGATATGATAACATATATTCTCCGGGATATAATTACATATATTCTCGGTGAGTTTCCAGTCGCCGGACACGATACCTACCTAGAAGTTTCCACTCGCCGTTACGTATAAAATTTGAGGTATCTCCTTTGTCACTTTCCAGTTGTAGATCCAATAACTGTCCAGGGTACGTCCATGATCCAAATTTCATTGTACACCGTTGCTCGTCAAAGGGAAACCATGCGATGTTGATTGCGCATGTACTCTTAAACATCCCCGGAGGCACCCATGAACAGCTGCCGTCGCTATATACTATGACGTTAGTGTGAAAGGTCCCATCAAACGCCTCATCGGCACTGAAACGTAGAGCATATTGACTGTTCTACAAGATATAGATCTCAAGGATACTCCTCTGATGTTTTGACCGGAAGTAAGACATAATTCAATATTAAATGAATTCCAGCATAATATCTTTGACTTTTTGGTATCTGTAGTTATACTTGTAAGTAGAAAACGATGTCATTCGGTTAATAACGTTTTCTGGTTGTTAAAAAATAAATGTTTCAGATGGCTATTGATCTTGGAAAAACTGACTATTTCAGTGAAAAATGCTAAAAGATAAGTACACAGACTCCCTCGTTTTTAATTAAAGTATCATAGAAAATTTCTCCATCAAAAATTAAAGTATCAAAATACTAGAAGACGGTCAAATTAAAGATTACATCATTTTTTAACAGTTTCATTTTTGGTAACTATGGAGATTAAAGCTTGTTAAATGTAAACTAAGCATTTCCACATGATTTTTTGTCTTAAAATTTTCGCCAGAAAAATTTAATAGCGAATTATTTTGACTTCTCAGAGGAGCACATCCTTAATACAGGTTTATGTAGCATAGCCCCAAAAATGATATTACGAAAAATAACATTTTTATCAATGTGATATTTTGTATATTTCTCTGAGGAAAATGTTGTAAAATACTTCAGGTTTAAAACCTTTCTGTGGCATGCCATAGGTATTACCAGGTGTTCCAAAACCTACTTTGTGACACATCATAGGTATTACCAAGAGTTCCAATGATTAATTAATGTTTCTTGTGAAACACGTAAGTCTCGTCAAACCGCCATTCCAATAAAAATGACGTATCCTTGATAAGTAGCAATTTACCTACATCTCCGAATATGATTGGTTTCCTCTGTGGCATTTTAATTTTCCTTTACACCTGGTTTCTTGTTCTTTGTATCGACTGGCTAATTTGATTGTGTACTAGTCGTATCGCTACAGGCAAAGCAACACATGCTTTACTCAAGGTATTTAACGTAAGAGGCGACAAAGAAAGCTTCCTTCTGAAGGTCGTGACAGACAAAAATACTGAACACTTGTTGTAGGTAATCCCTATTTGACCCAGTAAACTAAATGGGATACTCCAGGAAGCATGCTCAACCACGGTCAGTGTCATGGAATGAATAGTATATCAGGTTAACATACCTACAGTTTGACATTTCAGTTCAGTGATACTTTGAAACAGTTGATACTATTCAAGAAGTCATTGTATTGCAATGAAAGGACTGTAGATAAATAAAGTCATTCATAGGCCTTGCCCGGCAACATCTCGCTTCTCATCGCAGTATTGAGGTCGGCCAAAGAGGGGGATGTCATGAATTTTAGATCTGTCCCGAACTCAAATCAAGATTTAAATCATCGGTACTGATTACATATTGCTGGACATAGTCTGTTTCCTGATGTAGTATGATGTTAGGAGTGTTTGATGCTCAGTTGTAAACCTGTTGGTTACACTTTTATTTAGCATGTCCTCATTATGAAAAGTGACTTTACTTACTTGGATTGACCTATATATACGCGGTAAGTGTCGTCGATGAAACAAAAGACTCTTACTCCTGCGGAACACCTGGTTTTATTGAATTCGAGCTTATGATTCTGTTGATATGTTGGCATTTTCTTTACTGTTGTTAATGACTGAGTGCCAAGACCTTGTTAAACTTTTTGTCAGTATAATTAGATCGGATTGGTCTTTATGTTACAGTATCCACTTAATGATTATATGTTGTAATGTGATATTACCACAGATGTTCCCATCATCTGTTGTCACAATCTCCCGGACATTTGTTAAGACGTTAATCAGCAACTTAGAAAATCATCGTTTTTTCTCCCACTAAAAAAATCATCGATACATTTGCTGTGATCACTGTCTACAATTAATTCAACGTATTTTTTTGTAAATCTTTAATTATCTATGCAAGTTGTACTGGGTGTTGTGAAGCGTCATAACACTCAGAAATGGTATTTCCCTTGCTACATGTAAATACCAGAAAAGTAGAACATGTTTTCGGTAAACAACAAGAAAATACCAACATGACAACAAAATCATTATCCGAACTAAAATTCAATATAACTAAGGCAAAATCTGAACAAAAGGAATATTTATATGGAGACAAGAAAAAAGTACAAGAATAAGACCATGTGTTCCGGAAGTGTTAGCGTCTTCAGCTTCATTGACACCCGCTATATAAATCTTGGTCAATCCAAGCAAATAACATCAAGTTCTCAAATGAGAACAAGGTATACAACAACGGAATCAAGCTTAATTTCGACTCTACCACTGTGATTAAAAACAGAGAACGATGTTAGATATTTTACCCTAATCCTCTCTCGGTCAGGGAAACCGTCTACCTATCTACCGTGTCGTATATATTAACATATTTCAACATCTGGCCTAGTAACGAGGACATTTCCGGTGCTTTATGATGATGCTGTGCATCATTAATTCCCCCCAACTGCGTTATTACCTGTTGTACATCAATATATCAGGCTTCCAGACCTTAGCGGCGGGAACTCTAATAGATGTTATGCCACCAAATTCCTCGGGGTTCCAAACCAAATTACAGTCCTTCCATTTCTGTACAAAAAGGCGCATACACGTTAAGATTATTATTCATGGACGTTTGGTCTTTTGGTCTACCCTATCAACCGTCTGACACGGAAAAACATAGATCAATTTCATAAATTTATGGAATGGTTTGTTTATCATTGCTGCCAACGATGACCTTCAAGGTCTGTAATTGATGTACTGATTTGTTCGGGAAGCCCATGTAAATAGTTCACTTTTCTCCAGGAACCGTCGGACAGTTATATGCATTAGTCCATTTTTGGTATAAAAATTTCTTACATCATGTATTTATTGTAAAAGCGGATTACTTACCATATTCAGCCAGACATTAGAATGAAGAATCTGCATCTTCTCGTCCTGAAATATATATGATCGTATGTATTATCGCTACATTAAATAAAGTTAAAAATGGAAAATATTGAATAAACATTAAATTACAATCATACACAACCAATAATTTATCGAATATTCTTACGAGATAGCGTATATATTATAGATATTGCCGTCCCAGAAGGGTAGATAAGTGTAGAGTAGGACTGTATTAGCATAAAAAGTGGGACTAAGGAACTTTGTGTACCAGCAGAATGTACATATACACAAACCAGGGTAAGTTGGCATAACGAAGGACTAAGGAACTTTGTGTACCAGCAGAATGTACCTTTACTCAAACCAGGGAGAAGTTGCCCTAACGAAGGACTAAGGAACTTTGTGTACCAGCAGAATGTACCTTTACTCAAACCAGGGAGAAGTTGGCCCAACGAAGGACTAAGGAACTTTGTGTACCAGCAGAATGTACATATACACAAACCAGGGAGAAGTTGGCCCAACGAAGGACTAAGGAACTTTGTGTACCAGCAGAATGTACCTTTACTCAAACCAGGGAGAAGTTGCCCTAACGAAGGACTAAGGAACTTTGTGTACCAGCAGAATGTACATATACACAAACCAGGGAGAAGTTGGCCCAACGAAGGACTAAGGAACTTTGTGTACCAGCAGAATGTACATATACACAAACCAGGGAGAAGTTGCCCTAACGAAGGACTAAGGAACTTTGTGTACCAGCAGAATGGACCTGTTCTTAATCCAGGGGGAAGTTGGCCTAACGAAGGATTAAGGAACTTTTTGTACCAGCAGAATATACCTGTTTTCAAACCAGGGAGAAGTTGGCGTAACGAAGGATTAAGGAATTTTGTGTACCAGCAGAATGTGCATGTAGTCAAACCAGGGAGAAGTTGGCGTAACGAAGGATTAAGGAATTTTGTGTACCAGCAGAATGTGCATGTAGTCAAACCAGGGAGAAGTTGGCGTAACGAAGGATTAAGGAATTTTGTGTACCAGCAGAATGTACCTGTTTTCAAACCAGGGAGAAGTTGGCGTAACGAAGGATTAAGGAATTTTGTGTACCAGCAGAATGTGCATGTAGTCAAACCAAGGAGAAGTTGGCGTAACGAAGGATTAAGGAATTTTGTGTACCAGCAGAATGTGCATGTAGTCAAACCAAGGAGAAGTTGGCCTAACGAAGGATTAAGGATCTTTTTTGTATTAGCATGATATATCAGGGCAAAGTTAGCGTACAGCGGGATTTCGGGCATATCTAAGGAGAAAGTTGGCATACTGTAGGACACAGGGCCGTACGGTATAACGTAGGGGAGAGTGGATGTATGTGGAGATTCAAGGTTCAGAAATGTGAGGTACGGCATCGTGGTACACTGACGTGGTACAGTATCGTGGTACAGTGACGTAGTACAGTATCGTGGTACAGTGACGTAGTACAGTATCGTGGTACAAAGACGTGGGACAGTATCGTGTTACAAAGACGTGGTACAGTATTGTAGTACAGTATCGTGGTACAGTGACGTAGTACAGTATCGTGGTACAGTGACGTAGTACAGTATCGTGGTACAGTGACGTAGTACAGTATCGTGGTACAAAGACGTGGTACAGTATCGTGTTACAAAGACGTGGTACAGTATTGTAGTACAGTATCGTGGTACAGTGACGTAGTACACTATTGTGGCACAAAGACGAGGTACAGTATCGTGGTACAAATACGTGGTACAGTATTGTAGTACAGTATCGTGGTACAAAGACGTAGTACAGTATTGTAGTACAGTATCGTGGTACAGTGACGTAGTACAGTATCGTGGTACATTGACGTAGTACAGTATCGTGGTACAGTGATGTAGTACAGTATCGTGGTACAGTGATGTAGTACAGTATTGTAGTACAGAATCGTGGTACAAAGACGTGGTACAGTATCGTGGTATAGTATTGTAGTACAGTATTGTAGTACAGTACAGTATTGTAGTACAGTATCGTGGTACACAGATATTTCAACAAATGGACGAAGTGATAGAAAGAGAGATTAGTATGCTATCAGGGAATATAGATGGCCAGTTATTTTTTAATTGTACTAGTATTGTAGTCTTGCCTGGCATTATTTTTTATGTGGTAGGAACAATTAGAAGGACTAACATGTAATAGAGATATTGGGTTATCTTTGTGTACTCTAGAATACATACAACGTCAATGATCTGTTGAAGTACGACGCTGAACTGGACCTGTATGGCATGGGACTCGTTTTCCACGGGCCTCTCTAGGTTGTTGTAGTGCTTTTCAACAAACAGGTAGTGCAGTAGGCGCTTCTCGTTGGTTCCCTGTAGCGTCTCTGTCCACAAAAGTACAAATAGTAATCAAGAACACATACATCGTAATTAGAAACATACAAACATTAATTTATGTAGAACGTGAAACAGGTACGGAAAACAGTAACAATATTTCATACCAGATAAAAATGATAGATGGTTCCGACAATGTATTTTAACAGGAACAAACATAGACTTAAACCAACACAATTACTTATATATGTAAAGGATAACTGAAGAATTTCCTGATTAAAGTATACATATTGTAGCGAATGTGAATGCAACATTTCTCTATAACGGACATTAAATGATACCATAAAATTATTCTGTGTTTGTCCTGTCAGTCATGCGTAACCAGCTACACTCACCTCGTACTGGTATGTGACAATATACTTGTGTAACTGATTTATTTCGTAATATCCAAGCTGTCTCCTATTCTATATTTTATTTCCGCTACGTCTATATCATGTCTTACGAGCAACAATTTCATTAGAAAATCTATACGAACATTAAAACACTGAAAACTGTGTCCATTTTTACGACAGGAACTAGAAAAGCTTTCAAAGGAATTTAATAAAAAAAAACACGTGTGGTTCATTTCGGATTCGCATACAATGATAATTGCTTGTTCTTTTTAAAATATGAGGTATTACCCACCACACTTTTCTGTCAGATAGATTGACACCTAGGCACGGAAACACTTCCGATACGGTCAAAGCATTTGTAAATTAGACATTCCGAAATTGGTTCCTTAATCATAACGCATGTTATGTAATATTATGTAATACACGAACCCGTCATTCCTGCATGGGGTAGACAACATTGATTAAAAAAACATATGAGAAAGGAGTCACCAGGCATAGCAATACGTGTTTTCTTGACAAGTATTTATATAACAATGATGAATGTGGAGAGCCATTCGTTTCTTCACTTTAACAAGACATGGTGAATTTCTTATAGTGAAGCTTAACATTTTCCCTTATGTTGATATTTTTATAGTGAGGTGTGAAGTGAAATGTAGGTTTAACATAAAGACTTCACGTTGGTAGAGCGTGAAATTACGTTACCAGTTAAGCTTCGACTTTCCCTAAACTTGACAGTTTGTGTTTATCAAGAAACCGGAAAAATAACCGGTCTCTGCTAATGTGGTTATATCTTTCAGTCAAAGTATTTATCTTGATTGGCGTGGATGGCAAAACGACGGGCCTCCCGTATGCTGTTCATTGAAGAACACTGGGGTAGCCATCGGTTACCACAAGGAGACCTTACCTCAAAATGACTTGGTGTTCGCAGGACGATAAATACAACAAACAGACTTTCTACGTAACATAATCCACAATAAATTGAAATGTAGAAACCATTTATTCAAAGTATATATTGGTATTATGGAATATCGTTTTTATACTGAAATAAAAAAATATCATAATGTTATGATTTGTGGAAAAAAAATATATGACTCTCCTGTGTTTTGTGCATTTTACAACTACAGAGGGATTGGAACAAAATGATTGTAGATATTTATAATAATATAAGCTGGACAATGTTCTGGGTTAGACAGTCAAAAATCTCCCCGGATGGTAGGGATTTCTCTGTCCGTCCCTAAAGTTGGACAATGTTCGGGGTTAGACAGTCAAAAATCTCCCCGGATGGTAGGGATTTCTCTGTCCGTCCCTATAGCTGGACAATGTTCTGGGTTAGACAGTCAAAAATCTCCCCGGATGGTAGGGATTTCTCTGTCCTTCCCTAAAGCTTGACAATGTTCGGGGTTAGACAGTCAAAAATCTCCTCAGCGGGTAGGGATTTCTCTGTCCTTCCCTAAAGCTTGACAATGTTCTGGGTTAGACAGTCAAAAATCTCCCCGGATGGTAGGGATTTCTCTGTCCTTCCCTAAAGCTTGACAATGTTCGGGGTTAGACAGTCAAAAATCTCCCCGGATGGTAGGGATTTCTCTGTCCGTCCCTATAGCTGGACAATGTTCTGGGTTAGACAGTCAAAAATCTCCTCAGATGGTAGGGATTTCTCTGTCCGTCCCTATAGCTGGACAATGTTCTGGGTTAGACAGTCAAAAATCTCCCCGGATGGTAGGGATTTCTCTGTCCGTCCCTATAGCTGGACAATGTTCTGGGTTAGACAGTCAAAAATCTCCCCGGATGGTAGGGATTTCTCTGTCCGTCCCTATAGCTGGACAATGTTCAGGGTTAGACAGTCAAAAATCTCCTAAGAGGGTAGGGATTTCTCTGTCCGTCCCTAAAGTTGTACAATGTTCTGGGTTAGACAGTCAAAAATCTCCTCAGAGGGTAAGGATTTCTCTGTCCTTCCCTAAAGCTTGACAATGTTCGGGGTTAGACAGTCAAAAATCTCCCCGGATGGTAGGGATTTCTCTGTCCGTCCCTATAGCTGGACAATGTTCTGGGTTAGACAGTCAAAAATCTCCTCAGAGGGTAAGGATTTCTCTGTCCTTCCCTAAAGCTTGACAATGTTCGGGGTTAGACAGTCAAAAATCTCCCCGGATGGTAGGGATTTCTCTGTCCGTCCCTATAGCTGGACAATGTTCTGGGTTAGACAGTCAAAAATCTCCTAAGAGGGTAGGGATTTCTCTGTCTGTCCCTAAAGTTGGACAATGTTCTGGGTTAGACAGTCAAAAATCTCCCCGGATGGTAGGGATTTCTCTGTCCGTCCCTATAGCTGGACAATGTTCTGGGTTAGACAGTCAAAAATCTCCCCGGATGGTAGGGATTTCTCTGTCCGTCCCTATAGCTTGACAATGTTCGGGGTTAGACAGTCAAAAATCTCCTCAGATGGTAGGGATTTCTCTGTCTGTCCCTAAAGTTGGACAATGTTCTGGGTTAGACAGTCAAAAATCTCCTCAGATGGTAGGGATTTCTCTGTCTGTCCCTAAAGTTGGACAATGTTCTGGGTTAGACAGTCAAAAATCTCCCCGGATGGTAGGGATTTCTCTGTCCGTCCCTATAGTTGGACAATGTTCGGGGTTAGACAGTCAAAAATCTCCCCGGATGGTAGGGATTTCTCTGTCCGTCCCTATAGCTGGACAATGTTCAGGGTTAGACAGCTGAGAACCTCCGTAGATGGTAGGGATTAGGGGATAAACTTATTTTTATGACCAACAACAAACAATGCCAGATAGTATGACTGACATGTCTTTTTCGGCCTTCATCACAACGTGTTTCATATTAAATATGTCCTTAACATATTGTCACATACAAGATAAAACACAAATAATCATAAATACCAACACACATGTTGACTCACAACCTCATAAATCGACTTGTCATTCCGCAGATTTTCATTAGCCAGATTACTGTTTCCGCTTGACGAGAACAAAGCATTTCGAAGCGATCTGATCTATGACAAACAAGCTTAATGTTGATCACATACTTACCCATCCTTATACGGTAAGGATGACGTTGCATGATTGATCTTATTCCATACGGCACTTCCCTGTCGTGCAACTGTCCAGTTAAAGTCAGAACGATGTTGCATGTGTAACACGGGATTGGTGTTTTTATAATCGAGCCTTTTTCATCAATCTAATATAACTAATTGGTATGGCCTTAGAGATGAATAAAGGGATGGCTATCATGTGTATTAACACAGAAGAGTACATACAACTTGTTACAACCACCGTTTACTAACATTAACCAATAACAGTTATACGTGTACCTATAAAAACGACAATGCTTAAACCATCGACATCTATCTGTTAACATGGCAATATATACTTGGGAGGCGACTTCAACATATCACTCCCTTCCCTCGAGATTTTTTATCTCTTCTACAAAGCAAAGCAACGTAAGAAACAAAGCTAAGCATGTTTCTCCAATTGCACCAATAAGGATGCTGATGTTTCCCTGTCTTTCCTATCTATTCTTTCTTCCCGTGTTTAATGCTCTCAGTGGCTCTATTGCTGTTCAATGATATAGAAACACAAACATGTCCCCGCTGTTCACATTCTTCTCATTTGCGAACACAACATTTCTTACTTGGAATGATCCAGATTTTACAGAAAGCGCGTTGCCTATCGGAACACCTGGTCTTACTCTCCGTGTATGTTTCAAGGTCTCCGTGTATATTTTTCCGTTGTTCATATCTTGCCCATGTTTCATGCTAATATGTCAATAATGTATATGTTATTTATGATGTAACTCTGACTGTTGTGAAGCCTTGAACAACCAAATATTCAATGGTTGCATGCAGCACGATTCAATGTTTAAAGCGTATTATTTTATACAATGGAAGAAAATGGTAGATAGCGTGTGAACCATATATACATATGTATATTATATTGAATATAAATATATTGAATGTCAACAATAGGCATTATTGCATGCAGCGCTCACTTAATAAAACTAAGAATAGAATACCCTGACATGTTGCTTTTTCATTAGTATTCTGTGTATATGAATTATTGTCGTATGCAGAACAGTATGATACTACTACATCAGCGTGTTGTATCACCCACCAAAATCATTATGGAGTGCGGACACCTTCTGCATCCTAAACTTATAAACTCATATACATGTGTGATGGCACAAATGATGGGAACCTAAAAAAGCTCAAAATATTATGTTTGTGTTGAATACAGTGCTTGAAAAGTAGCCATTGTAATACAAATTAATTGATCAGATATACATATATAGGCGTATATCTAATTATTGTTGCCATCATGATTTTATACTTCCTGGCAAAATAGTTTCAGGCAATTCTAAAGCATAAGCAAGACAAAGATGAGTGGCAATGGGTCTCAGCAGTCTATTTGTATCACGGATATGGAATAGTGTCTCAGATTTATTATTAGGAATGAATTTTGGATTCAACACTATATATTATACACCCTTAAGATCAGTACATATACACAATATTAACTACATCAAACAGCTGTTTCCTTGACCTTTTGGTAATGATAGTTGGTAAAGCTGAGATCGCGTATACTATGTTTGGTTCGGATACTGGGTACTTCGGGTGCATCTACCATCTCACTGGTATGTTTATTTTTTTTTATCGGAATACATTCCTCTTTTTTCCTAATAAACAAGAACTGTTGATGAGCATGCTACATTTCATGTTTGCTGTATTTCAAACCCAGATATCGTTCTACATTTTCAAGGAAACGTAGGCTCTTAATTTCCTCTTCTGTTACTTACTGCCTTTAGGCCTAGGGGTAATACAACACATAAGCAAAAAATGATGACAGGTGTGATATATACCTTTAAAGAACAGGATGATCACCAGGAACTAGTACGTTTGGAATGAACGGAAAAAATGATGACAGGTGTGATATATACCTTTGAAGAACGGGGTGATCACCTGGAACCTGTATGTTTGGAATGAACGGAGAAAACTGATGACAATGATGACAGGTGTGATATATACCTTTGAAGAACAGGATGATCACCAGCAGCGCCATCTCCAAGCGGATGAGGCGGGTATTCTCCATCGCCTTCCATGCGTGCATTACGGTTTACACGTACAGATATACATCCTCTTTACTACAACCTGCAACAAACAAAATTAAATCACTCAAACAATAGCGTGGACTTGGTCTATATATATATATATATATATTACCTATTGTAACTGCAATACAAGTGTGAGTGCATTGTGTAAAATTAACATATTAATGGAAATTATATACTCTCTCTCTCTCTCTCTCTCTCTCTCTCTCTCTCTCTCTCTCTCTCTCTCTCTCTCTCTCTCTCTCTCTCTCTCTCTCTCTCTCTCTCTCTCTCTCTCTCTCCGTTTGACCAACTGGTTGTTGTAGAGGTTAGAGAGGCATATATATCTATTACAATAATCTTGTGAGAAGTGTTTATTCGGTCTGCGCATGCGCGTGACATGGACGCCTCGACTTTTAAAATATAAGTCAATGCTACGTTTTTCTTTTTCAGTTGATGTATAACGATATATCACACTATTACTTTACCAAAGTCACTAATAAATGTTCATTGATGATATCCAAATATTCATTGCCTGTGATCACTCGAATTACTGCTTTGTGGTGTATCACTTATTTTATTAACTTAAATCATCTATATATATCTAAAGCCATAAATGACACGCGCGACAACTTCATAGAGAATCATCGCGACGTTTGCACGTGCTTTAACAACAAAGGGACACGCATTCGTTTAAATTTTATCACAACTGAAGATATTTACTTAATTAAATCAACTTCAAAACGACGCTGGTTTTTGTTTTGTTTTCAAAGACCTCGGTCAAGATTTAAACAACGCTAGTCGAATATAGAGTCAAGATAGGCAATAAGTAGGTCATGTTAATCATGTCTAATGATATATATCTCAATAGTAGTAATACATATCATTAACCGCGACCTAATCAATAGTATTCCATTCAGATGTACATGTTGACTTGGATGAGCCGTGCCAAGGTTATCGAATAGTATTTCATTCCGTCAGACGTGTAAAAAAAAGGCTAAGTAATAACGTTTCTTGGTTGTTTAGTTATTTATCTAAAATAGGAATCACCATTTAATGAAAATGTTTGTGTTAATACTATAAATGTCTTCAATATTAAGTGTTTGTCAGACCAAGTACGAAGTATGATGTATTCGCACAAGAAGGTCTATCAATAGGAAATTTCCAATCTTTTATTCTCGAAATTCTTTATTTCTGCAAAATTATTTGATACTTTTGTCTGATAAGCAAAACAAAAAAATTCCCAAAAAAAACAAAAACAATATGGTCTTAGATGCAATCCTGTCTTCAATAATCACCGACATCCTTTTTAAGAACCTTTTTGTCATGTTCATCTCTAAATGTTTCCAAATATAGGTACACTGATACACGTAAAAAGCCTTTCAAGGTTTGCTTTTAGTTTCTGATATAAAATTCATTATCATATATGCGAAAAAGACACAGACAAATCGATTTTAATGTCAACGCCATGAATAAAATCTTTATCATACAAAACGTTTGCTCACTCCACAACGTCCCCGTACTGAATCTGTTGTTTCTTTCCGCTTTCAAAAAGTTATATATAAAAAACTAAGAAAATACCAAAATGTCAGTATTATCATAATTCAAATTTAGATTAAAAACAACAAGGGCAAAGTGTGAACAAAAGAAAGATTTGCACGGATACTCCTTAAAAGCTACAAGCAGAATGAGATCAGAGGTTCCGGAAGGTCAAGCGTCATCTGCTTCATCGACGACATCTGCTCTGGTTGGTCTAAATATAGATCATTACTATAAGATTTATTATCTCATCACTGCGATTATGATATAAGATTTTGTATTCAAATCAAGAAATTGCTATATTTCAATGACAACAATGTAATACGTACTCTTAAAAGTAAACTTTTTATTTGATTTATAATTTTATTGAAAGTAGCTATTTAACTGTGCTTCTTTTGTTAACTTTTCAATAATTTTGATTTAGAATTAGTATCGTTGAAATGCCGATATTTTCATGTTATTACACATCTTTCAGTTACTTGTTTGTCTTACAGAAATCATATCAACACATCTTCAGTTTATCCCAGTAAATCCCTGGCCTTGTTTATACCTTCAGTGTTATCCCAGTACATCCCTCACCTTGTTTATAACTTCAGTGTTATCCCTGACCTTGTTTACAACTTCAGTGTTATCCTAGTACATCCCATGACCTTGTTTATAACTTCAGTTAATCTCAGTACATCCCTGACCTAGTTTATAACTTCAATGTTATCTCAGTACATCCTTGACCTTGTTTATAACTTCAGTTTATCCCATCACATCCCTGACCTAGTTTATAACTTCAATGTTATCTCAGTACATCCTTGACCTTGTTTATAACTTCAGTTTATCCCATCACATCCCTGACCTTATTTATAACTTCAGTTTATCCCATCACATCCCTGACCTTATTTATAACTTCAGTTTATCCCATCACATCCCTGACCTTATTTATAACTTCAGTTTATCCCATCACATCGCTGACCTTGTTTATAACTTCAGTGTTATCCCTGACCTTGTTTATAACTTCAATGTTATGCCAGTACATCCCTGACCTTGTTTATGCCTTCAATGTTATCCCAGTACATCCCTGACCTTGTTTACAACTTCAATGTTATCTCAGTACATCCCTGACCTTGTTTATAACTTCAGTTTATCCCATCACATCCCTGACCTTGTTTATAACTTCAGTGTTATCACAGTGCATCCCTGACCTTGTTTATAACTTCAATTATTATCCTAGTACATCCCCTGACCTTGTTTATAACTTCAGTATTATCGCTGACCTTGTTTATAACTTCAGTGCTATCACAGTGCATCCCTGACCTTGTTTATAACTTCAGTATTATCGCTGACCTTGTTTATAACTTCAGTGTTATCACATTGCATCCCTGACCTTGTTTATAACTTCAATGTTATCCCAGTACATACCTGACCTTGTTTATACCTTCAATGTTACCCCAGTACATCCCTGACCTTCTTTACAACTTCATTGTTATCCCTGACCTTGTTTATAACTTCAATGTTATGCCAATACATCCCTGACCTTGTTTCTACCTTCAATATTATCCCAGTACATCCCTGACCTTGTTTACAACTTCATTGTTATCCCAGTACATCCCTGACCTTGTTTATAACTTCAATGTTATGCCAGTACATCCCTGACCTTGTTTTTACCTTCACTGTTATCCCAGTACATACCTGACCTTGTTTATACCTTCAATGTTATCCCAGTACATCCCTGACCTTGTTTACAACTTCATTGTTATCCCTGACCTTGTTTATAACTTCAATGTTATGCCAGTACATCCCTGACCTTGTTTGTCATTTCAATATTATCCAAGTACATCTCTGACCTTGTTTGTCATTTCAATGTTATCCCAGTACATCTCTGACCTTGTTTGTCATTTCAATGTTATCCCAGTACATCTCTGACCTTGTTTGTCATTTCAATGTTATCCCAGTACATCTCTGACCTTGTTTGTCATTTCAATGTTATCCCAGCACATCCCTGACCTTGTTTACAGAGACGTCTGTCGTGTCACATTTGTAACTCAGCCAGGCTGAAAATGGAATCTGTCATGGTTGTTTTGCTTCAATGTTTCATTTCCTTCACAAACCAAATAACCTCAGCCATGACATGACAAGTAATGTATTGAAAATAAAAAATGAAGATTCCCTGTTCGTTTGTGCTGTTTTGATTGTACATGTTCGACGAGTTGTGCATCAAACTAAAGTTAAGTGAGTACACAAAAAGTTGTATTTGGATTAGTTCATACATATCAGAATATTAAGACTTCAGTGTCACAATGCTTGACTGTTTGACGTTGCGCTAAGGATATATTCCTCTGGAAAAAAATCGAGTATCAAACTTTTCTGGTGATGATTTTTTTCAAATGTTATATTTAAGAAAGTAGATTAAAAGCAAGGAATCAATTGTGTTGCCTCTTCCCATTTTCCGGTACAGGCGTCAGAATATGTGTCACAGCAAATGATTCCCTTTCATATATTATCATTATTTATCTCCGTGAATAACAGACATGCTCTTGTTAATCTTGTTAAGATTAATTTTCGTCTATGATTTTATGGCAATCTTCTAGTTAAACCTATTATTATTAAACCTTTTTAAAAAGTGTGTGGACAGAGATATTTTCGGGGATACTTTGTATGATTCAAAAAGAGGTTGTTTCATTGCTTAAGGTTTGCAATTTTCACTTAGTTTTTCCAAGATCAAGAAGAAAACTGAAATGTTTGTTTTGGATCCTAAAATTCGGGAAAATGGTCAACTAAGTCGAAATGCAGGATTTTGAAATCTGTGATGTGTGGTGAAAATTCATGCAAAATCTAGTTGAAATCTACCAAATACTTCCAAAGTTATACTCAAGAGAATAACGTTAGCAACCAGAAAACGTTGGAATTGTTGACGCAGTCAAAAAATGGAGTCCGCAAGCACAATTTCTTCAAAACGTTATAAAAATTGATCGCTTTAAATTTATCAGTATAAATAGAGACAAAGAGCACAAAAACAGAAAATTTCAAGAAGTTGTCTTTGACTTCATTTATATTGAATATGTCTTACTTCCGGTCATTTGTCAAAGGAGTACAATCTTAAGTAATAAATAAATGTACCGTTTCAGTGATCCAGATGTAAACATGGACGTGTTTTAAAGAACTTGAGTTTGAATTAAGATTCTGTTGATATGTTTTGATGGTTTTTGTTTTATTTTTGTTCGATTGTTTATTTGTTTTTTGAAAAGAGACAACAAAATAACAATAACAATGTCAATTACACGTCAAAAACATTACAATTGTGTTATCGATAGGAAATCAAAATTGTATTATTAATAATTTCAACAGGGAGAAATGAATGTTTTATACAAATTGTAGAATTACTTTTATCGACAGTAATACACGGTCTTATTCACATGTGCATCCAGATTATGAAAGCTTCGTGTTCGGCAAAGTTTTCTGAATCAAGTACGGCTGTCAACAAGGAGATAGG